TAAATTAATTTAGTTCTTTTTTTAATTAGAATAACTTTAACTTTTTTTGTAAACAATTAAAATTAAATTAGAATTAATTTAGGTTTTAATTACTAACATTAATTTTGATTTCTTTCTTAAAATACCAAAAAAAATCCAAAAATAATTTTTCTCATTTAATTAATTAATTTATTTAATTCAATTTAGTAATTAACTTAGAATTTATTTCTCTCTTAAATAAAAACAACAAAAAAAATTTTTTCTTTAACAAAAAGGGTCAAAACCCTAGAACTTTGCGCTCGATTTAATTTCTCGCATGCGATTTACCTTCTTTTGTCCAATTATGTACTTGCCTCCGGTTTGTAATAGTTAATAGGACCTTTATTTATTTTTTACCGCTTTATTTACTTTTAAAGGGTTTGTCTTTGGCGATGTAAATACCCGACGCCTTGTAATTTAAATTCCGCATTTTATTTTCTGCAAATTATAACTGTTAGATGTTTGATAATAGGAATGCATGACAAGACTGAATGTTTTAACCTAAAATCAACTTAGATCACCCTTAACATGTACAAAGATAAAATTAACTGAAAACAACACACTCGCACATGTGCACTCTTAGGGTACACCCCACTCGGTTGCCTTCGTACGCGGTCATTGAGTATAGGTCACTTTAGAGGTCACCCTCTTGTCCAAAGATCATAGTCGCCTCGAAACGGTTGCCTCGGATATTGTTGCCTCAAAACAAATGATCTAAGACATTAGGGTTACCGCTAAAGCATCCTAACATTGCTTTGGTGACCGTAAGTCCCTAAATTCGAATTGACCCTTAAAACTCCAACGACGGTGCTACCTACTCATTCATAGTGGGATAGCATTGTCTAAAGGAAGATAGCATAGAATGATTCCCTTTTTTAGTAGGTTGATGGTTCTTAAGTACTTGCTCTTTCAAAAACAAAAACTTTTCACACTTACACTTTTCAATTGAAGTTTCAAATAAAAACTTTTTCAAACCCACAAGCACAAAGAAAGCAATATTTTGAAAACAATATGAGCAAGTACCTAAGAGCTCGTGGATAACCACGGATAGAAAGGGTGCTAATATCTTCCCTTTCTATAATCTACCCCCCGAACCCGAGAAACATCTCGAAAAAAGAATTTTTCTGTGCTTTTTTCCTTTCCTTGTTGGATAAAATAAAAGTCGGTGGCGACTCTTGCATACCGCGACATTTTATGAAAACAAATGCAAAACACAAACCAGCATTCCAAAAAACAGTCAGTTCTTTCCCACCGTATCACAGATGGCAAGAGGTCAATAATTTCCAATGTGTTGTACATACCAGGAATGAAGAGCAATTTTCTCAGTATAGAGCAGTTGGTCAAAAAGAAATATAAAGTGTCGATCGAAGATAAGATAATGAGAGTCTTCAACACAAATGGAAGATTAATCTTGAAGGCTCCAATGTCTCAAAATAGAACCTTCAAGATCGAACTAAATGTGATGGAGCACAAGTGCCTTTCGGCTGCAACTAGCAGATATTAATGGATATGGCATTATCGACTAGGCCATCTCAACTTCAGAGACATCAGGGATTTGAAGAGAAGAAATATGGTTTCAGGATTTCTAGAAATCGACATTCCAAACGAGGTATGTGAGGAATGTGTGCAGGCGAAGCAACACAAGAATAGCTTCAACAAGGATGTAGGAAGCAGGTCGAAGGTTATTCTTGAAGTTATATACTATGATGTATGTGGACCAATCCAGGTGGATTCGATAGGAGGTAAAAAATACTTTGTTACATTCATAGATGATTTCAGTCGAAATCTATGGACTTACCTGATCAAGAAGAAAAGTGAAGTGATCGAGGTATTTGCCAAGTTTAAGTCTATGGTCGAAAGACAAAGTGGTCGAAAACTCAAAATTTTGAGAACTGATGGTGGTGAAGAGTATGTGTCGAAAGACTTCGACAGGTTATGTGAAAAGGAATGGGTTGTGCATGAGGCGGTGCCATCCTATACTCCACAGCATAATGGAACTGCAGAAAGGAAGAATCAAACCATCATGAATATGGTGAGAAGTATGTTAAAATGCAAGAATTTACCTAAAGAGTTTTGGGATGAAGCTGTGTTGACTACAACATACATTTTGAACAGATGTCCTACGAAGAAGCTAGAAGGAATTACTCCAAAAGAATGTTGATCTGGTGTGAGGCCTAGCTTGATTCATCTGAAGGTATTTGGATCCATTGCACATAGACATGTGCCAGATCAGTTGAGAAGAAAACAGTCAAGTCAAATGATTCTAGTTGGATATCATTCGACATGAGGTTACAAGTTGTTCGACCCAGTGAACAAGCAGATTATGATCAGCAGGGACGTGATCATAAATGAGCTTAAAGAATGGGATTGGACTGAAAATGTCAAGAAAGATTCAGTGGGAATCCTACTTGAAGAACCAGAAACTCAAGTTGAAAGAGAAGTCCGACAAGAGAAACCAACCGTTATAGATCAACCAAGTACAAGCAAACCTTAAAGAACAAGACGCATGCCTGCAAGATTGCAAGATTATGTGATTAGGTCAGATGATGTGATAGATAATGAAGGTGAGTTGGTACATTATGCTTTCTATGCAGATGTCAAACCTGTCAATGCAGATTGAGCATTAAAGGATTCGAAGTGGGTGAAAGCAATGAACGGAGAAGTGAAGTCTATCAAAGACAACAACACTTGGTCACTTGTCGAATTGCCTCAAGACAAAAAGGAAATTGATGTCAAGTGGGTATACAAAGTGAAGATGAATCCCAAAGGGGAAGTAACTCGAAACAAAGCAAGGCTTATGGCAAAAGGATTTCTACAGAAAGAAGGAATAGACTTCGATGAAGTTTTTGCACCTATTGCTAGGATCAAAATAATCAGGTTGGTTGTTGGTCTAGCAGAAATAAACAGATGGCACATATGTCAAATGGACGTGAAGTGTGCATTCGTGAACGGACCCTTAGACGAAGAAGTTTATGTTAAACAACCAGTTGGATTTGTGAAACATGATGAAGAGAGAAAGGTGTACATGCTACATAAAGGTTTGTATGGATTGAAACATGCTCCAAGAGCTTGGAATAAGAAAATTGATAGTTTCCTAAGCGAGAAGGAATTTTTAAAGTGCATAACTGAACATGGAGTATATGTAAGAAGCAATGGTGAATTTCTTATACTATGTCTCTATGTAGATGATTTGTTGATAACAGGTAGCTGCAAAAGTGAGATCGAAGACTTCAAAGGCGATCTCAGCAAGGAATTCGAAATGTCTGATTTGGGTGAGATTTCATATTTCCTTGGCATCGAATTCTACAAGAGTAGTAGAGGTTTGATGATGCATCAAAGAAGATATACAAGAGAAATTCTCAAGAGATTTGAGATGGAAGAATGCAACTCAACTTCAACACCTACAAACCAAGACTACAACTGTCGAAATATGCATATGAAGATGATGTCGATCCAACCCAATATAGATGACTTATTGGGTCATTGAGATACCTTAGTCATACAAGGCCTGACTTAGCATATAGTGTAGGTATGGTAAGTAGATTCATGCAGAAGCCAAATGTATCACATCTAGCAGCAGTGAAGAGGATACTAACGTATCTCAAAGGAACTCTCGACTATGGCATTTTGTTTCCTGTAGCCGATAAAGGAAAAAAATGCAAGTTAGTTGGATACACTGATTCGAGTAGGTGTAGTGATGCTGAAGATCGAAAATCAACAGCAGGATATATGTTTATGTTAGGTGGTGCACCAGTTGCTTGGAGTTCAAGAAAGAAACCAATAGTGGAATTATCATCATGCGAAGCAGAATACATAGTTGCTTCTCTTTGTGCATGTCAAGCAACTTAGATGGTGAACTTGGTCGAAGAGATAACAGGGGAAGATCATGGAGCAATTACCATGAAGTCCGACAGTATGTCAGCTATCAATCTGACGAAGAACCCGATAGCACATGATCGAAGTAAGCACATCAAAATGAGGTTACACTATCTTCGAGAGCAGGTAGCAGATGAGAAGATGAATTTGGAACACTACAGAACTGAGAATTAAATTGCAGACATCATGACGAAGGGTGTGCAAGTCGAAGTATTTCGAAGACTAAGAGCCATGATGAAATAGATAGTTTAGACACAGTGAATTAGGTGGTGTGTTAAATTTTAATTCATAGATCAAAACTATATGTGTCAAAGGGTTTAGAGGTGGATCGAAGCAGGTTGTTCGAAGGAAGTTATTGCCCAGTCAAAGAGCTCGTGGATCGAAGCAAGCTGCACACAAATTAAATTTGTTTTAGATTTAGATAGATTTGATTTAAGTCTAAAATATAATAGATTTGATTTAGTACCAAAATAGGTATTTTGGGCTTTTATAGTTTTGAGCTTAGGGAGCAAGCTAAATATATAAATAGAGGGAGTAACCCCTAATTTTGTAATTTAATCAATTAAGTTGTATTCAGAGAATTTGCAGTAGCAAGTAAATAACAAAGTTTCCCACAGTTTGTGGACAGAGAGAACCTCTGCAAAAAATAATTATCTTCTTTCTTTTATTTTCTTTTCTCATAATTCATTGTCATTGTGTGGTGATATCAATCTTGTTCATCAAGATTGGTAGAAATTCATCATAGATATTTTGGTGGATTTAAAGTTAAAATTTGAATTAGTTTTTATTCAACTTTACCAAATCAGGTTATGTAAAGTAAAAATTGCATCACTCATTAACACATATTGATATCGTATCTCATTTAACTTTAAATTTTTAACATTTTTTAAATGAAATAAAAAAAGACAACTCCAATGGAATAAAGATGTATATAGTAAGAAATAGATTGATTTATTGTGTTACATGAGTAAAATTTCAAAGAAACATGAGTAATAAATAAAAACAACAAATTCAAGACATTAAGAATGATGTTTTAATAAGGTGTCAATCGAAACAATGACATTAAAATAGGAAGACAAGACAAAGATAGAAAGTATAAATGTAGTTTAAACACTTTGATTGGCTGCAAGAAAAGCAAGCATTAAAGGAACAAGAACAATGATGGCAGTAGGATAACTGAGGCTTCGTGGAGAGGCAGAAGGTGCATTTGCATCATAGTCAGACCCACCACCATATTGAGCAGCAGCAACTGCAACTGAAACCAAAAGACAAGCTACATACACAATGAATTTAAGTGATGAAGCCATTTCTGAATATGTGCACTTTGATGATATTGAATAATTTGTTTGATGTTTTTTACCAAAATGTTGTGTTAGTAACTTAGCTTAAATAGTGGAGAAGGATTGTACAGTTTCGGCCAAATGATTCTTTCTTATAGGATAAACAAACAAACAAGAGAGAACTAATTAAGGTGTTAGCTGGCCTAGGACTTGATTTCTAACACGTTTTCTTGTTTATAACTAATGGATACAATAAATACAACAATGGATTAATCATTTGTTTCTATCATTAATAATTACAAAAGGGTTGCAATTAATTGTTACAATTTGTTTGATGATGTTTAGACTAGTTAATATTATGATCAATTTGTAAGGGGTTTAATTGGACACTTAATACTAGAATTAAGTGTTATTGTTGTGGAATTAAAAGGTTGAAACACACCAACAATATTAATATGTAGAACAAAAGAACAATAATAAACAAAAATAAATCAAATCTGATTAAAAAAAATCAATTTATCAAAACAGTGTAAGCAAATTCAAAAAACAATTAAAAAATACTCATGCTCAAAAAACGGTCTTTCAATTTTTAGAATAATAAATCATGGGAATCTCTCTTTTGTCTCTCTAAGTTCCTCTCTAGAAAACTCTCAAATGGCACTCATGCTCAAAAAAGGATGTATCTTTTATAGACATTGGAATAAAGCACTCCATTTTTGCAACAAAAAAAATGCAAAACACAATGTGTTCCTATGAAACGAAAAGCATCCTCGCCATATTTTTTGAGATTTTGCATTCAGCAACATAATTCTTTACCTTTACTTTAAAGCCTATGGTTATGTTAAATTATCCATTGTTGGAAATCCACCAATATTCTAGAATGAATTTCGACCACCTCTGATGATTAGTTATGAGACAAACAAAGAAAAGACAATAGAGATATTTCTGCAGAGTTTCTCTCTGCCCACAAATTGTGGAAATTTTATTATTCACTTTGCAACTGTAAAATACTGTGAATGACTTGATTACAAAAATAGGGATTACTCCCTCTATTTATAGATTTAGGTTAGCTTGCTCCATAAGCTAAAACCCAAGCCCAAAATATCTTTTTACTAAACCAAATCTAATCAAATCTATTCTAGACTTAAATTCAAATCTATTTAAATCTAAAACAAAATCAAATCTAATCTTGACACATATGAATTACAATTTAACACACCACCTAATTCATTGTGTCTAAACTGTCTATGTTCATCATGGCCCTTAGCTTTCTAAATACTTCGACGTGCACTCTCTTCGTCATGATGTCTGCAATCTGATTCTCAGTTCTGCAGTGTTCCAAATTCATCTTCCCATCTGCTACCTTCTCTCGAAGATAATGGAACCTCATTTTGATGTGCTTACTTCGACCATGTGCTATTGAGTTCTTTGCCAGATTAATAGCTGACATGTTGTCTATCTTCATGGTAATTGCTCCATGATTTTTCCCTGTTATCTCTTCGACCAAGTTCACCATCCAAGTTGTTTGACATGCACAAAGAGAAGCAGTTATGTATTCTGCTTCGCATGATGATAATGCCACTACTAGTTCTTTTCTCGAATTCCAAGCAATTGGTGCACCACCTAGCATAAACATATATCCTGCTGTTGACTTTCGATCTTCAGCATCACTACACCAACTCGAATCAGTGTATCCCACTAACTTGCATTCTTTTCCTTTATCAACTGCAGGAAACAAAATGCCATAATTGAAAGTTCCTTTGAGATACCTTAGTATCCTCTTCACTGCTGCTAGATGTGATACCTTTGGCTTCTGCATAAATCTACTAACCATACCTACACTGTATGCTAAGTCAGGCCTTGTATGACAAAGATATCTTAATGATCCAATAAGTCTTCTATATTGGGTTGGATCAACATCATATTCATATGCATCTTTCGACAGTTGCAGTCTTGGTTCTGCAGTGTCGAAGTTGAGTTGCATTCTTCCATCTCAAATCTCTTGAGAATTTCTCCTGCATATCTTCTTTGATGCATCATCAAACCTCTACTGCTCTTGTAGAATTTGATACCAAGGAAATATGAAATCTCACCCAAATCAGACATTTTGAATTCCTTACTGAGATCACCTTTGAAGTCTTCGATCTCACTCTTGCAGCTACTTGTTATCAACAAATCATCTACATAGAGACATAGTATAAGCAATTTACTCTTGCTTCTTCTTACATATACTCCATGTTCAGTTATGCACTTCATGAATTCCTTCTCCCTTAGAAAACTATCAATTTTCTTATTCCAAGCCCTTGGAGCTTATTTCAATCCATACAGGGCTTTATGTAGCCTGTACACCTTTCTTTCTTCGTCATGTTTCACAAACCCAACTGGTTGTTTAACATAGACTTCTTCATCTAAGGGTCCATTTAGGAATGCACACTTCATGTCCATCTGACATATGTGCCAACTGTTGATTTCTGCTAGACCAACAACCAGCCTGATTGTTTTGATCCTAGCAACAGGTGCAAAGACTTCGTCGAAGTCTATTCCTTCTTTCTGTAGAAATCCTTTCGCCACAAGTCTTGCTTTGTGTCGAGTTACTTCACCTTTCGAATTTATTTTCACTTTGTATACCCACTTGACATCAATTGCCTTCTTGCCTTGAGGCAATTCGACAAGTGACCAAGTGTTGTTGTCTTCGATAGACTTTACTTCTTCGTTCATTGCTTTCACCCACTTCGAATCCTTTAATGCTTCAGCTGCATTAACAAGTTCGACATCTGCATAGAAAGCATAATGTACCAGCTCACCTTCATCATCTATTACATCATCTGATTTAATCACACAATCTTGCAATCTTGCAGGCATGCGTCTTGTTCTTTGAGGCCTGCTTGTACTTGGTATATCTATTGGTTCCTCTTATCGAACTTCTCTTTTGACTTGAGTTTCTGGCTCTTCGAATAAGATTCCCACTGAATCTTTCTTAACATTTGCAGTTCAATCCCATTCTTTAAACTCATCTATGATCACGTCCCTGTTGATCACAATCTTCTTGTTCTCTGGATCGAACAACTTGTAGCCTCCCGTTGAATGATATCCAACTAGGATCATTTGACTTGACTTGTCATCAAGTTTTCTTCTCAACTGATCTGGTACATGTTTATGTGCAATAGATCCAAATACCTTCAGATGACTTAAGTTAGGCTTCACACCAGACCAACATTCTTCTGGAGTAATTCCTTCTAGCTTCTTTGTAGGACATCTGTTCAAAATATAAGTTGCAGTCGAAACAGCTTCACCCCGGAACTCTTTAGGTAAATTCTTGCCTTTCAACATACTTCTCACCATATTCATGATGGTTCGATTTTTCCTTTCTGCAATTCCATTTTGCTGTGGAGTATAGGGTGGCACCACCTCATGCATAATCCCTTCCTTTTCACATAATCTGTCGAAGTCTTTCGACACATATTCTCCACCACCATCAGTTCTCAAAACTTTGAGCTTTCGACCACTTTGTCTTTCGACCATAGACTTAAACCTGGTAAATACTTTGATCACTTCACTTTTCTTCTTGATCAGGTAAGTCCATAGCTTTCGACTGAAATCATCTATGAATGTAACAAAGTATTTTTTACCTCCCATCGAATCCACCTGGATTGGTCCACATACATCAGAGTATATGACTTCGAGACTAGCCTTCGATCTGCTTTCTGCATCCTTGCTGAAGCTATTCTTGTGTTGCTTCGCCTGCACACATTCTTCACATACTTCGTTTGGAATGTCAATTTCAGGCAATCCTGAAACCATATTTCTTCTCTTCAAATCTCTGATGTCTCTGAAGTTGAGATGACCCAGTCTATAATGCCATATCCATTCATCTCTGCTAGCTGCAGTTGAAAGGCACTTGTGCTCCATCACATTTAGTTCAATCTTGAAGGTTCAATTCTGAGACATATGAGTCTTCAAGATTACTCTCCCATTTGCATCAACAACTCTCATCAACTTATCTTCGATTGACACTTTATAATTCTTTTCGACCAACTGCCCTATACTGAGCAAATTGCTCTTCATGTCTGGTATGTACAATACATTCGAAATTACTGACTTCTTGCCATCTTTCCTCATGATCATAACATCACCAATACCTTCAGCTGCTAGGGTGTTTTCATTTGCAAATTTTATCATATTTTTCGTTGAGGGTTTTATATAAACAAACCAGTCTTTCCTTCCAGACATATGTGATGAACATCCTGAATCCAAGTACCATTGGTCCTTGAATCTATCTTCATTTTTTGTTGTGACCATCAGCATCATCTCTTCTTCTTTTTCTTCATGTTTTGCAAGCTTTGCATCACTTTCTTGATTCTTTCGTTTTTCTGGACAATCACTCGAATAGCGTCTATATTTCTGACAATTGTAACATTGAATGTGACTTTTATCAGGTTTTCGACCACCACCTCTTCCTCTGTTTGCAGCACCACCTCTTTGGTTGCCTTGTGTGGTCTTCTTTTATTCGACACGTATCCTTCGATTTGGTTTCCTCTACCATTCGATTTATTGTAGCCACCTCTACTTCTGTCGAAATACTTTCCTTTGCCTTTGGTCTCTTTTGCTGAATGTGCCTGTAAGGCCACATCACTCTTCGATTTTCCTGCAGCTCTTTCGTTCATTCTTTGTTCATGAGATTCGAGCGTCCCTTGAAGCTCTTCCTTTGTCAATTTCGACAAGTCTTTCCCCTCTTCGATCGCCACCACTATGTGGTCGAACTTAGGAGCTAAAGATCTCAAGATCTCCGAAACAACAGCTCTTGTTGTTAATGTTTCTCCACATGCCTTGATTTGATTCACTAGTTTTGTAACTCTAGTGAAGAAATCAGATATGTTTTCACTGTCTTCCATCTGAAGCAGTTCATAGGTCCTTTTGTGAGTTTGTAACCTCACTTCTTTCACCTTCTCAGCGCCTCCAAAAGACTTCTCAAGGATCTCCCAAACTTCTTTTGCAGATTCTGAATCACTAATCTTTTCGAAATTGTC